GAGGAGGTGTAGAGGGAGTGGAGCCGGTGGAGGTGGGTTGCTAGGTGGTCTATGTGGGTGAGGAGGGCGTAGAGCGGCTGCGTGAAGGAGGGTTGGGTGAGGAGGAGGCGGTGGGTTAGGGTGCGGAGGTAGAGGGTGTGGGCTGTGGAGAGGGTTTCGGGGTCGTGGGGAGGAGGGGGTTTTGTAGGAGCCGGGGCTGGGATGGGGTTCGGGGTAATGAAGCCGGAGCCGGAGCCGGAGCCGGAGCCATAGCCGTCGGAGCAACGTCGTCGCTTGGATCGTGGTTGTAGTGGTAATGATGGTAATGATAGTGATGGCGGCGGCGGCGGCGACGGCAACGGTGCCGAGGGCAAGAGCCAAGCATGGAAATGGTCCCAGAGACCACCAACGATTTCGGTCTGGAAGTAGGCTTCCGTCTCGCCGAGAAAGAAAATGGCGGCGCTGGCCGTGGTCCACGTGCTGCGGAGGAGCCAGGCGCGGTCGGACCAGCGCTCGCGAAGCGTGACGGCGTGGTCCGAGGCGCCGCGCGGAGAAGGGTAGTGGCGCCGAAGGGACGTGATTTTCCAGAGGTCTGTGAGGCGGATGTTTGCGCGGCGCAGGGAGAGCAGATAGGCGTTGATGGACGAGTAGAGCTGCAGGTCCGATGGCGAGATGACCATGTCGAGAGGCGAGGGGAGGTCGATGCTCAGCATGGCTGGCACGCCAAACAGCATGTTGCGGAACGGCGACGCGGCCACATGGCTGGCGGCTTCCACGTCGAAGCCCCGGCCCGTGGTCAGGGCAGCAGGCGGTTTCGACTTTGTGAGATGGAGCTGTATCAAGCCCCTGGCCAGGTCCAGCTGGTCGTCTTCCTCGGCGTGTTGGCCCTGCATGGACACGAGCGCGGCCCACGTCCTGTTGAGCACGGCGGCCACTTCTCCATCCTTGACCGTGACGTTTTTGATGCCCCCGTCCTGTTTGTCGTTTCCCAGACTGTCGCTCTGATGATGGCGTTGTCCTCCGGCTCTCCCCGCCGTCGCCGCTCGGCTCCGCCACCGATTGCGGATCCGTTCGTCGGCCTCGTGGGTCAGGGCCATGGCAAATTCGCCTCGACCGAGGAGGAAGAAGTCGCGTAGTAGGTGCATCGTTTCCGAGACTTTGGCCAACGGAAGCATTCGCTGGAGGGTGTTTTCGGACAAGGACGTTCGAATGGCCTTGATTGCTTTGGAAAAGTCGGCGCTTTCGAGCGGCAGCGACAACGTCGATAGCTCTGACAGCTTGGCCGCCACGTGCGCGGCGACTCCCGTGAGTGTTGTCGTTGTTGTTATTGCTGTTGAGCTTGTGGTGTTCATGGCGCGCACATGATTGAGGGACTTGCCGATAAACAGCATGGACGATGCCGTCGCGTCCGAGACAAAGGACGGCAGACACTCCACCCTGCAGCTGTAGTCGTCGGGCGCGCCCTGCATCGTCGCCGTCGTCGCCTGTACAAAAAAGTCGTCGGCCCCAAAGCTCGGCAGCCTCCCATACAGCACCCATGCCGAAACCTGCTTCAGCCACGCCGTCTCTGCTGCCTGGACCAGACTCTCGGCCGTGGCAGCCACATCCTGATATCCGCTCTGCAGCTCGTCCCTCAGCCGATCGATGAGCGCTGCGCCGCGACAAGGCCGGCCCTCGTCATCCGTGGCCATGATGAAGCGCACCGTATCCCACAGCCACTCCAGCCGTCTCGTCCACTGCTGGAACTCGCCCATGACGGCCGTCAGGGGCACAATATTGTAGGCGCCCACGAGCGCCGCATCCTTGTTCAGCACACTCGCCTCCACGTCGAGGACTTTTCTTTGAAAGGCGGCGAGGTGGACGGAGCTGATGGCCGTGGAGACGGCTCGGCAGATGGTGCTGGGGTGCGAGGTGGCCACCTCGAGGGAGTAGGCAATGAGCTTCGTGTGCAGTTGGCTTATGTGACCGGCGGAAGAGAGCAGTTGTCGTTCGGGAGGTGTGATTCCGGCGAGGGCATCTGCTTCGGGTGAGCTCGGTAGCCGTAGGAGAGGTGATGGGTGGCCGGAGAGGGACAGGAGGATTTCGTGGAGCATCGTGTGTCGCGCGCCGCTCGCCTGCGCTTGATCGAGTCTTGTATGTCGTGGGAAATGAGAACGATGATGCCGAGTAGCTCAAACCGACACATGGAGCTGGCGGTTGTGGCGGCGCGAGACGGACGGGCTTTGGTTAGTTGGAGGTTGAATGGCTGGCGAGGGCAAAATGCGTTGCAGTTCCAGGTGGGAGTGGAGCCGGTGTGGTGAGATGGGATGGGATGGGAGGAGACGTGACGAGACGTGCGGTGCGTGGAGTTGATGCGCCGGCGACGCGAGGGCCAGCACGCTCCCACGTGATGCCATGCGACTGATGCAAATCAATCAGATGCTTTAAAAAAAAAAAAAAAAAAAATCCGCCAATTCGTCCGTCCACTTTTGTCTATAAACATTATGTACTGACTCAATGTCCATCTATGCTTGATGCAACACAAATCATACCCCGCGACCGTCATGTGGCTTCCTTATTTCCTACCCACCACCCTCAACTACCGTTCTGTCTGCGAGTCCCATCTATAGCGGCGTTCTTCCCATTCCTTTGCTTCTCGCCGTGCGCAATATTCGCACCGTCAACGCGAGCATCGTGGGGTGTCTCGCCTTTCCTGCCGTTGCCCACATCCTTTCGGCCGCCCGCGGCCGCGGAGCCACCTTGCTCATTGTTGTCTCCGCCATCGCCAACAATGACCTTGCCGCCGCCCTTGACATTTCCCACCACCATGCCCTTGGCCACGCTCTTCAGGACGGCGCGGCGGGAAACGCCCGTCACGTCGATGTAGACGAGGCCCACGTTCTTGACGCCGCCACCGAGATGACGCGACACCTCGCCGGCTTCGGGACCCCATTTGTGCTCAACGACGTGGCTGACGCTCGACGTGGTGCTGGTAAGCAAGCTACGTCCGGCCTGTTCCATGCCATCCACAACTGTGCTGAACGCCATGAGGCTCTTGTTGAGCATTCCCGGCTTGTAAGTGTCGATGACATTGCCGTCCTTGTCGAACCCACGCGCACGACCATCCTTTCGTTTGGACAGGTTGGCACCCAAGTTTTGCGCAACCTTGGCGATGGAGCCGACTGTCGATGCAGACAAGCCCGCGGCCTTGGTGGAGTATTGGTTGATCTTACGGATGTGCTCGTGAGTCGTAGGCGTGAATGTGACGGGCTTGGCGGCGGGCTGGCTATTCTTGGTGTAATTTTCAGCCTGGCTAGTGAGGGTTTGCGCCACGTAATCGGACGTTGTAATGAGAAGACGAGATGCTCGCATTCCCATATTGACAATGGTGGACTTTTTGTAGGCGGGATGTATCCTGTCTTCGTCGTCGTCGTCGTCGTCATTATATCCCGGAGCGGGCTGAACCTTGATAGCCTGCGAGGAATCGGTTGGCAGTGCAATTTCGACAGGATCTGTACGTAGGCTGAAATTAGCATGCCGGACGCGGATTGCTTGCGAGGGAAATTCCATCGCCCACAGCTGTCTTCTTCTTTTTTCCCCCTTTCTTTTTTATCGATGGAGAGACACAGACCTTTGGATCCAGGTTTGATGGCTTTGTCTTCTACAACTTGGTATGCGTCGCCCAGCTCACCAACGACACTACCATCTTCCTCGTTTACTAAAACGATTCGACCTCCTGGGGCTTCCTTGGAGGTTTTCCTGGTGGAGGCCCCCTTGGAGGAGGCCCCCTTGGGGGAGGAACTCATGCTTCCCTGGACATAGGCCTCGCCTTTCGTGAAAGTACCAGGATCATAGGGAGGCAGCGCTTCACCCGTATCCGCCGGATCAGATCTTGCCTTGGCAGAAGACGCCGCGACGGGTGCCATCTTGCCTTTCTTGGGCCCAGGGGGCTGAGCGCGTTCCAGAAAGGCAGTGCACTGCGCGAGAATGGTCTCGAAGGTATCGACATCTTCCCGAACGCCATCACGAGTGCCGACAGCGGGGAACTCGATGCGGGTGAAGGCACCGCTGTCGGGACCGAGGTCCCATCGAGGTATCAGGTAGCTCGTGGGAGGTTGGTGGTAGATCTGCGTCGTGGCGGGGAGAGGCAGATCAAGTTCCGGCGGCAAGTGAAGATGCAGATAGAAATCTTCCTCGCCTGTTTCGAAGCCGGATGCGTCAGCAAAGCCAGACGATGTCGGCACCATGAGCAACGAAAGTGTCTGGGGCCCGAAGGGGTTCAGTGCTCGTTCGTTGCCTTGGGCGATGTGGTAGGCCTTGATGCCATTAATGGCGTAGAGGAGCTTCGGGTCCTGCAAAAAGAGTCTGGTCAACCAACTCGACGTTCCATCTTTCAGGTCTGAGCCATCACATGCCAGACAGCAGAGAAGGGGACATCTGGAGTATCGAAGCAAGGGTGCTTCGGAGTCGTGCCTACATTGCTCCCGGAAGGCATGATGAAGACGGTAGAGAGTCGGGCGAAGCGGATTCTACTTCTCCTCGTGAAACTCGGCGACGATCACGAGGAAGATATGGATGTATGGATGAGTGCGGGTGCAGTAAATGTTCAAGGGGAAATGCCTGCCTGCCTGCCTGCCTGCCTGCCTGCTCGTCGAAGTGCGCTTGATGAGCGCTCCAGCGCACTCAGGCAAATCAATCGCGGGGCAGCGGCTATGACGACGCAGAGAAACGTCGGCGCCAATGAAAACTGGGAAGAAGCACCACACTCGACTCTTTCATCCACCTGGCGCCCTGCCGTGGCCACAAGCGCCGGCATGATGGCTGGTGGCAGCGGACCATCCCACACTGGCTGTTCTGTTCCTGGTGACACCAGACTAAGAGTAGAGCATTTGTCCGTCAGGGCTAGAGACTCGCATAGATGAATGAACCACACAAAGTCACAAGCGCTAGCATTTTCAAACGGGACAGAAATATTCTTGCGCTTCGTGACCTAATGCTGCGCTCGATATATATATAAATAGCGACTGCAAACCATCACATCTGGGCGAATGGTTTAGTGGTATAATACTCCCTTAGCATCATCCGGGTTTCTGCTCGTAGCTTGGGAGTGGTCCGGGGTTCGATTCCCCGTTTGTCCATTGCGAGGTTTCTCTTTTGTCAATCTTCCACTTTTTTTTGATTGAGTCATTTTCCTTTTCTATAGGGCCCGTTCATGGGGCATCGGTCCTGGCTTAAATGGCATTAATCTATGGCTGTGCGTTAATGGAAATAAGTAATTATTAATTTATATACTTTTTTATGCCATTTAAGCCAGGACCGATGCCCGATGAACGCACCCTTTTATATTGGCCGCATAGCCGCTCCGTCAAGCACGTGATGAACATTCGAACGACGAAACTTGTTCGACCTGTTCAGGCCTCTAGATGTCCGCCCTTCCCCCCCCCTTCACCCTACCCCCCTTGCGTCATCTTACCAACAGCCGCCACAGTGCAACCAGCACCAATAAGCGCGCCGTCGGGGGGCAGCAAGGTGGCACAGCAAAAGCCACGCTCCCGCCATTCAATTTCATCAGGAGCATCACTGGCCTATCGCTCCACTTTTCGATACCATTCTTTGCCTTGCAGATTATTGACACAATATCTCAATGCCTCCGTAAACCACGAGACCGACGCCGCCGACGTGAACCTCGCCGCATGGGCCATGAGCTTTGGCCTGTCATTCCCCCAGCGACCGTCGACTTTGCCGGCAAGTGGACCTGGACGCCAATTGAGGCCTATTTCCGAAGCATCATGATCCACTTGCCTCCTCGTCTTCAATAACATTCATTACTTACAGATATTGGCAAACTTTCTTTTCTTATCTCGAAAAATTGGAAATACTCGCACTCTTCAACCCACCACTGCGACGGCCCGTATAAAAAAATTATGACAAATCGCACTCACATCAGCTTGTCTTTGTTGGACAAGCTTGTTACTGTGAGGGCTGAAGAAGTACGTGAATAGTGTATCACAGGATTATCTATTGCCCTTCGGTGAGGTAGTCCCGACATGAACTCAGCATGAAATGAAGCAAGTCTGAGCTAGCTTTACTATCTAGTGAATTTTACGCAGACCAGAGATGTCGCAGAAAGGACCAGTCTGATGTAAAACTTGGAATTTTTTATTCTTGTAGTATCAGAGGTAGGAACGCGTGCTTCAGCATTAGGTTACCCTGCACCTGGTATTGATAAGGACTCGCCTGCATGACCTGTAATAGCTTGCGGGTTTATCAAATCACCACCCGGCGAGGAGACTCCTGTGAACGCGAAGAAGACGCAAAAGACTTTGAAAGCGAAGGCGCCTGCGAAGCCTCCATCACAATCATATTTCTCATCGAGTCTTGTGGAGTCCTAGAGGTCGTCTTCGAGGTACGTGAAACGTTTTATGCTCTACACAGGCCGCAGACGTCCATCGGCCAGGACTGGTTATCTGCCACAGCCACCACAATCTATCCCGCCCAACGATGTCCGGAACTAATGACCCCCGTAAGAAGCATTTGGACATCCAGCACATCTCTAAGAATGGGTCTTGGAAGCTTGACACAAAGTGACGATTGAAGAACTTGAGCATTAGCTCCCAGACCGTTTCATTGTCACCGGAATATCAATTTTCACACCTCTCTCTGTCTCATCTGTTTTCGGTTGTGGGACCGTGCACGGCGAGCACTAAAAAGTTGGCAAGTGCGAACGAGCTATTGACGTTGGTCCAATCAATAGAAATGGGAAAGAGCAGAGACAGACTGGCTGGCACGTGTTGGCGGCTCTCGCTCTTGTGATGACACGGTCGAGTTGAACATCTCTTCAGCATCTCCCTGTTCGCCACGTCTGTGAAAACATTTGCGTTTCAACCTCGGCCTTTCCGCCGCCATCTGCCACCGCCACAGAAGCGAAGGGACCCGGTGTCCCTTTGCGGCCCGTCAGCAGTTCGCGCGCTTCCATTCTGTTCGTGTCACCACCCTTTTCCTTGGTTGGAGCTCGAGGATTCATGGTCCTAGACTCCCGGGGCGGCACGAGCAGCCCATCGTGCAGGACAACAGAAACATCTGGTGGCTCGCTTAAAACACAGCTTGTAAAGCTTCATTTCGTGCTGCAGGTGAGCTGGCCTTCATCTGTTGTCACTTGACTATGCCCTCTCCGACGTGGTGTGAGTTTCTTTGTTGGCCAACATTATGCCACTAAAAAAAGTCCCTTCCCGAGTTTGCAAAAAAGCCAACGAGACTCCAGCCACTTTGGCGTGCTGTATACGTATTTGAAGCTAATTGAAGGCCTCGATCATGCATAGGCATAAAGTTTTGTTCGCGCAGGTCATCAGGCCAGTACAGAAACATCAGGAAATCTGGCCTGTAACGATACATTCCAACGTGCTATCCTTGTCGATTCCAATACATTTTTGGAAGGATAAGTATTCCTGACCAGTAAAAATATTTCCCAGGTCATTCGCCACCAAGACGAACCCTGCATGTGGCTGGCTATTCCGGAGGTGACCGAAACGACACACTGAAGACTTTTTGTCTCCAGTCCTTAAGGTTGCACATCAACAGCTTTCCCTGCCTAGCTATATTTTGGAAGATCGTACCGGAGAACAAGAGCCAGTGTGGTGCAGACAATTAGCCTCATGATGGAGAAGCAACCGGATTCGGATCTTGTCGGACAAATTGCTGTAAGTCCGTGGAGTGGTGAAGTCGACGGACGGAACCTGTTGCAATCGGTGTCGAGATCCGGTAATTGCCGGCTTTAAAAGCTCGCATCAAGATGCGTTGAATGAAGTGCATGGGTGAGCGGCTGTGGGAAGTCAGCCACGCATTTGCTTGCTAGACAGCCAGACTTGCCCGTTAAGGCCGGATGCCGTCACAACATTTCGGCTACCAGAAGAACCGTACCATATCCGTCGCGGGAAAAAATGGCATCAGACATGGCCAAAGCGTTCCCTCCTCAAAATTGACATTCGGCAATTGCAGAGCACTACCGGTTCAAATTGATTGACCGGCGATATTCGAGCTGAGAGCAATGTACTTCTATCTCGAAATATTGGCCGTTGAGTGCATGAGATTCAGCTTTGATCGAAACACGAGGTGAAAACTCAGGCAGGTCGTGGTTTTGGTTACATCGTAACGATACATCAAGTATGGGGTGCCCGAGTTTAGGCTTGGTAATGTTGTATTGCGCCTGAAGCCCTGGTAGACCGGCCGGTTCGCGACAGCGTTCCGCGACAGCGTTCGTTCCTGCCACATGGCAGAATCAGCTTCACGAGCGCACGCCATCGTCAGCGTCGATGGACGAAGAAAAAGGGACCTCTTACTGACGATGAGGAGAATCTACTTCACCAGGGCGAGCTGAAACTGCAGCTCAACAGGACGAAATGAACCCACAAATCGAATGCGCCTGTTCGCACCACAGTGCCCTGCAGCATTCTGCCTGGTACGCCACCACATCGCCGTCTCGAGACACCTCCCGCTGACACAGAAAATCGCGCTTGGTTTTCATGCCGAATTAAACTGAACCGTTGGCAGACGATACAGCCATGATGGACTGTTGATGTAACCTTTTATGGGACCAGGCACATCTCCTTGTCACTGCCAGTCATGGGATTGCCATGTGGTTCGCATCGGCTCTTGTAAGTCGGGCGGCGGTATATGCTTCCAAATATGTAGTTCCCACAGCTGCGCAAAAGCTGGAGTGAGTGAGTGGGTGAGTCAGTCAGTCCGTGGGGGACCGTCTCTTCTGCTCGGCGAGCAAGATGGAAAATCCCCGAGACTAGCTGTCGGGACTCCCTCGAATCTCGGACTTCTCTTTCTCATTGGTCACGGATGCCCAGCAAGTCAAGTGTTGAGCTATCAATTGACGGTGGCAAACCGCCAGGAAATACTCCTCGTAAGATGGGAGTGGTTCAGACACGGGCCGTGCTGTGCCGTGGGGGCGACGCCAAGAGACAGCCATGCGGCCCAGGGCAACGGGCATGATCGCCCGACTGACTTATTGCCATCGTAGGGATGATGGATTATTCGAAGCCTCACAGCGATGCTCATTGTAGAGGTCTCGCTGCAGAGCCTATGCGATTTGATTGCTTTCGTCCATCTAATGGTCCACTTCCATTTGCATTTCCCTTCATGCATAACATTGACGTCACGTACTCACTCACTGCCTTCAAGACCAAAGTGATGCGTGATATTGAGCCTGTCCCATTTTCACCAAAACAAGCTCCCAGTGCTCTCGCAACTATTGGCGAATCTTTGTATTCGAGCGGGTCTGAAACAAAAGGCCGGGCGGCATGGCGAAAGCTCAACATTCAAAGGCCCAATTCTCGGACCAGGAATTCCCGAGTTCACCAAAAAGTTCTCCCATCCCGTCAAATCCAAATACTGTCTGTCCTGGGAATGTCATACGAGCCGATGATTTACAGCGCTGTTGGAAGACAGAAAGGGCTGCCTTGAGGGACCGTGTGCTCCCACACAGTCACAGCACCCTATAACATAGCAGAACATCTGGAATACCAGATCGTCTGGTGTCACGGTGGATTAGCGGTAGGGGGTTCCAGTTTTGATGACAGATGGATTGCACAGCCTGAATCCCAGTTCGTCTCCCCCACCCCGTGTCTTCACCACACTGGCAGGGACAAAGGGGCGACGAGAATCGGGTGGCTTCTTGGGGTCAGGAACAAAGACAAATATGCAGCATTGCCTTGCCATTTCGCCCTTCAAGATCACCTTTGCATAGCATTGATGGATGAAACTTGACTACGCGTCCATTGGCAGTTTTGAAATGGGACGAAATCCGTCTCTCGATTCCTGGGCAGAGTCGACTTGCGGGAACTTCAGGACCATGACAAAGAACGTGCGAGTTCCAAGAGACGGGAACATGTTCTACTTTGGCGACAAGCTCTGGAAAACCCACCGGTTTGGAATACAGGACGAAGTCGGGTTACCCAATCCGAGGAGGGCGCCATTGTCATCGTACCTACGACTTTGTGCCAGCTTGACGGTATCGCCGCTGACGCCCACGTTGTACCAACCCAGATGCATGTCGCAGAACGCACAGAGAACAGCGCAAGACGGGCTGTCCTATCCAGGACTGCATTCCGGCCAAGAGACATGCAGAACAACC